TAAAGAAAATACAGCAATTTTTAAAGGATCTGTAGAGTCACTCAAGATTTCTAAGTTTAGGAAAATCTTCTTACCCTCATCAGCAGTGGCCTAATTGACATTAGCGACCTAACTCCAGCCCAAGTGAGTTCAACTTGAGGACTATGATGGCAGGATAAGGGAGAAGTTGTTTTTGCCACTACCTACTCGCTAGTATCCCATAATTATTGTCTATGAGTATCAATGATCGAGTACCAGGCTTTCTAGCATGATCATTCTCAGGATACCGAGAGTTGCCAACATTTCAATAATTTGTGGTAACTCATTCAGGCCGAGAAGCTACTTGAATTCAATCCTGAATGACCTAGGTAGAAAGTTGAGTAAGGAACCAATGAAGTAGTTTAGAAAAGAACTTGTTGTTGCTTGCACTATTCAATTAGCTAGAGTTGTATCAACACTATTGAGAGGATTTGAAGATGCATATGCCGAGCTAGTCTTAAGAAGCTACTTTGCAAGTGAGAGATTTTTCTTAATGCCGTTAAAAATGGGTTTTTTGAAATATTGTTGCCAATCATTATACTAGGTTGTAGTACTTATTGAAGTCGTCACAAGATCAACTACAGCTTGAGCTTGATTTCTATTTAGAAGCTCACTCATATAATAATGTATTATTAAGATCACTTAAAAGTTGTTACGCATAACTAGGATGATAAAATTTTTTTTAGCAAAAGATAAGGTCACTTTACTGTCTACAATGATCCTTTCGTTAGCTGGCTTTGATGCTGCTGAAATGACTTCCTATATTGGCATAATTGGAGTAGTCAGAGAAATCTTCAAAAATAAAAGAATTTTTAAAATAAAAAATTAAAATAAAGAAATAGTAATAATAATTTTTTCACATATATAAGATCATTAGTGACTTCTAGGATGACTTCAAAGTGCATAGGTTTGCTAGCTGTTGGTGGGGAACTCCCAATGCCTCGGTAGAGGTTTTCATAGGAGTTGAAATGCTTCTTCATCCCTGCTTGCCTCAGCTAGAGCCATCTCAATCTTTGTCTTCTTTCTAAAAAGCTCATACACTTTTCACATTTACATCTCATTCGAGTACTCACCAGCATGGAGTTTTCAAACATCCTTGCAATGTTGTAGAGCTTGATTGTGATAGGAAGGAGATGGCTCAAAGCTCTTGTAACGCTTTTGATAAGAATGTAGGATAAGTTTATAGGAGATTGACCTTGTTGATGTAGACAAAATAACAAAAAGTGAAACATCCCGACATAACAAAATTTTAAATAATAACATTTACCTTTTTTGTATAATAATTGTTTTATCCGGCTAGCTCGTCTTTTATAAATGAAAGAAAACTACAAATTTGTCATAGCTAAGCCGAGAATCTTCATGAGAGAAAAGCCAAGTGATAATTTCAAAATTTTTAAGGTTAGTTTGCCACCGTTCTCTTATTTGTTTCATAATAGCCTTTTAATACAAGAGAATTAATGAACTAAAAATATACACCCACAATACTCTTAAGGGAGCTCTTGCCCATCGAACTCAAGATGGACTCTCCAGCCAGGTTAGTAATAATATTCATTAATCGAGTTCCAGGCAATACTCTATTCATGTTTGAAATAGATTCAACAAGTCTATGAAAAATTTATTAAACATATGATGAACTCGCCACCAATTAAACTTGAGCATAGTTTCCTACACTCGGGAACTACTTAGAAACTTCTTCAAAGGTACTAGCGACTTATTACTTCGACTACATAGCTATTTAATTTTATGGAAAGTATCCAATTAACCTTGCTATATAAATTTTATCATTCTTGTGTCTTGTTATATAGTTTTTCCTATAATTCTCGAGAATTGACTCCAACCTATAAATAGAGGGTTGTGGTGAGGCGGTGGCACACATTCATCTGTATTTGAGTTTTATTTTGTGGAAATTTTCAAAGCTTCTCTCTCTTATGTTCTATTTATTCTCTTTCCTATCTCTCATTCCTATTGTATGAAGTATAGTTTTGGTATATTTCATGAATAGATAACTTAGGATTCAACACAATGATTTGCTATGTATTAGTAATTCCACCATCTTCTTTTTAAAGCGATTATTCAGCTCTTGTATTTGAAAATCAACAATGAAAAGAAAAACTGCTACTCATAATTCTGTTCCACTATGATATGCTCTCTTAGAAGATGAGATCAACATCTTTCTCTAACATTACAAGCACTCAAATTAGGAATATTGTATCGTTTATAACAAAAAAGATACCACTTTATCATATAAAAAATCCCTTTCACTTTCTTTTAACTTTTGAATAAGTTTCTTTTTCATATTGAATTTTCAAGGTTTCATATTGAATTTTCAAGGACCTACTGGAATGAGTAAGGTACGGGGCTTTTCATTGAGGGAAGTATGCCATAATTTTTGTTAGTTTGGCTGATATATTGATGTTAGTTTATACAAAGTGAGATCAATCATTAAAGGATATATAACAAACTCTTCAGATTCGATTCTAGGTGCTTTCATCAGGAATTAATCTAATCATTTGGATTCAATTCAAGTTGATTTCATATGCAGTTCATAATAATTGAAGGCTGATCATTTATTTGCATATGAGATGTGAAACTTTACCAATGAGGGTTATCAATAATGGATTGGGAGTTTATTTGAAAAAATAATGCAATCATTTGTCAACTTAGTCAAGCACATACTGATAATATTATGAACCTGGATAAAACTAAGTACGGGCATGATGCTGGATTAATAAATTGCATACAAAGAGAAGTATGCATTTAATTGTATCAAAAATTAAGTGATTTGGATTTGATCAAATTATGTAGATTTTAGACAAATAGAAATTCAAAATTTCCGATAAAGCTTAAATGATGTTTTGCATGCCCCTTTTTATCGCTTTACGCCATATAAAGAGCAAGCACTACGAAGGAGTTACTGCTGACTAGTTAGATGATCCCAACTTTTTCTTTTTCTGAGAAATCCTATCCTTTCTTATGAATACTCTAACGAATCATAAAAATACTAAGCCTGTTCATCCCTTTTTCTTACTTTCCAAGGCTATCTTAATTAGAATGTTACATACGAGAATATGTCAGTCTGTAATACTAGATGAATTAGTTGAGTACAGTTAATTAAAACTACATATTTTATTGGTATGTCTTGGCACAGTAATAAATAAAACTTAATAGGCATGCTTCCAAAATAATTCCAGCCTTAGATGTTTGCTTTAAAGGATGCTTTAAATGTAAGGCTGCATTAGAGAAGTAATGGATTTAGATATTAATAATACTGACGTGGACTATGCTATACTTTTTTTTTTCACTCATTTATCATACTGCTTTTAGTGATCATGAACTTACCTTGTTTTCTTTAATTTTTGGATTTGTTGGAACAAGTACCCAGCTCTGCGCCATCATTATTCAAGTTTTTAAGAATCAAGATTCAATGACTCCACCTTTAACCAAACCGACACATAAGGAAATATGTCCACCTTGCATAGTTTGTAGTGGTGTTTATGGTAGAAATTCTTTGAGGACTTAGATGTGAGTCAGCTATTCAGCTTTCTTCTAACAAACATGATTTTAATTTTTGTATTGATGACGAAAGCACCCTCAGCTGAGACATACATAGGTTAAGTGGGCAATATACCTATCCAATTTGCTTCAAAGGCTAAAATATTTAGATTATTGAAAGATATATTGAAGGATAGGCCATTTATTTTACTCGGCTTCAAATTTGAAAATAATTGCTTATTAATTTATTGGATATTTTCATTAAATGTTTCAATGTGGTGTATTGTTTCATACTTCAGTAGAGGCTATAAGGGATGATATGCTTGTCAGTTTATGGGATGATTTCTTTTGATTTGGCTCTATTTGTATTTTTTGTAATAATCATATTTATCGAAGGTCATATATATTTATAAGGGCGTGTACACTTTTATTAGTGTTCCTCTTTGATAATTTTTGGCAATAATAGAAATATGCATGTCCGCAATTATGTATGTGCATGTGCATTTATACGTATGTGATAGGACTGTTGTTTATGGAACACACTTTATGTTTATGTATATTTATGAATTACCCATGTGCATGTGTATATTTGTAGGAGTTTTGTCTAATGCTCTATTTAGAGCTTTTTTGCCCTTCAACACATGTTTCTAATATTTTGACTCTCCTTATTCGAATAAGTTGGCATTTTGTTGCGATAATGAAATCGTCACATTATTGGGTTAATGGTTGGGGTTCGGGTTTTGCTATATGAAGCAAATTAAGACGGCATTTGGCTGCGATTTAGATTCACGTTAAATAAAATTTATCAAATCCGATAGATCCAGATTTTTTAAATCCACATTGTGATGGCTCTGCTCACAAATGCGGCGGAATAAATCCGTCTCGTAATTGGATATATTGAATCTGGATTTACGTCGTATAAGTGATAGAACACGCGAAGAAAAATATGGAACATGAGAAAATGGGATTTAGTGGAAAATTGGATTTAATTTTTATTTTTTTGGTGGATTTAAATTAAATTCATGGTTACCTCCGATTAATAGGATGCTAACAAACACTGCCCTAGTTTAACACACAGTTCGCAACTTGTAACATATTTTTAATTCTAATAGCAGTAAAAGTTTTAAGTAGTCTCTTCTTTTTTTCGACGGAGTATGGGGTGCCATAACTTGATATTTATACATGCAATGCATCATAAAAATGTTTCTCAGCACAGTTTTGACCTGCCGCTCTTTTCTTGGTTGTATGATACTGATACAATAAAGTTTTTGTGGAAGGTGGAATTGGAGTCCTTCATATTTTAGTATCCAAGTTAAAATTAGTAACTTTTTTCCTCCATCTTGGCATGCTAAAATATTCTTTTATCATCATACTAAAATATGTCATGGAATCTTTTCTTTTTCTATTAGTTTCATTTTTTTTTTTCAACTTATTTCATTTCTAATCTTCCTAATCTTCATATTTCCTGTATTTGAAATTGCTGGTGTCAGCCACGAGCTTCTACTATTTGAGGCTTTAAGAGAGGGCCTGGACGAAGAGATGGAACGGGATCCCCGAGTGTGTGTCATGGGTGAAGATGTTGGCCACTATGGAGGGTCATACAAGGTGACCAGAGGTTTAGCCTCCAAGTATGGTGACCTGAGGATTCTTGATACCCCCATTGCTGAAAATTCTTTCACAGGCATGGGCATTGGAGCTGCCATGACTGGCCTGAGACCTGTAATTGAGGGCATGAACATGGGCTTCCTCCTCCTCGCCTTCAACCAGATATCTAATAATTGTGGCATGCTCCACTACACTTCTGGAGGCCAGTTCACCATCCCAGTTGTGATCCGCGGACCCGGGGGCGTTGGCCGTCAGCTAGGTGCAGAGCACTCCCAGCGCCTTGAGTCTTACTTCCAGTCCATTCCTGGCCTTCAAATGGTCGCCTGCTCCACCCCCTACAACGCCAAGGGCCTCATGAAAGCTGCCATCCGAAGCGAAAACCCCGTGGTTCTTTTTGAGCATGTTCTGCTTTATAATCTCAAGGAGAGGATCCCCGATGAAGAGTACATGCTGTGTTTAGAGGAGGCGGAGATGGTTAGGCCTGGGGAGCACGTTACCATCCTAACCTACTCTCGCATGAGATACCATGTAATGCAGGCTGCCAAGACACTGATAAACAAGGGATATGATCCTGAGGTCATTGATATCAGGTCATTGAAGCCGTTTGATCTCCACACCATTGGAAACTCTGTCAAGAAGACTCACCGTGTACTGATCGTCGAGGAATGTATGCGCACTGGAGGGATTGGCGCAAGTTTGAGGTCGGCCATTATTGATAACTTTTGGGATTATTTGGATGCCCCAGTTATGTGCTTGTCTTCGCAGGATGTACCGACTCCCTACGCAGGGACGTTGGAAGAGTGGACTGTTGTGCAACCGGTACAAATTGTAGCAGCTGTGGAGCAGCTCTGCAGGTAATTTTATTGTCTTCATGATGCCGGATTATTTTATCCAAGAACGCACTTTTATTTATTTTTCTTTGTTGTTGTGCTTTGTTATTTCTGTTATTGTATTTTAGGCTTCTACATTGCTGCTATTAATTTATTTAGAGCCGGCTATCCTGTTTTCCTTTTTATAATGAAGCCTGGGAAGAAATAAATTTTGTTTTTCTTGGGGTAACATTTTCAGTAAGGATTTATAAGTCTTGTATTTTTTTTTTTTAATTTTGATTTGAATATACTGACCTGATTCTGAAATATATCTGCCTTTATGAACCATGAATGGATTTGTTTACTTTATTTTTAGTTTTATTTTGGGAAACCATTCGTTTGGGGTTCTATTCATGTTTTTAGTGAAATGCTTGGAGTTCAGTGGTTAATTTATTTTGTGGAAGTGTTTGTACCGGATATTATAACATCTTTGGCTTGTTAATTATGAGCTGTTATCGTAATAAATATTTTGTTTTGCAAACTTTGACCGTCATTATTTGATACAATGTGAGTCGTGGGCTGAGCAGACCGAAACACCATGTTATGCTTTGAAAGGGTTTATTTTTTGGGGCCTGTGTAAGATATGGTTTAGTTTGATTGCCTGTAGCTAAAAAAGTAATTTTTGAGAAATTATGATTTTGTTTAATTTATTTTAAATTTGAACGTAGATTTTTTGTTTTTTTTTTTTTTTTTTTGGGATGATATTTTTGCGAAATTAAAATTTTGAAGTAGATTTTAATTGTAGTTTATGAAATAATAAGATAAAAATATTAATTAGTTTCAAACTGATTCTCGTAGAAAAAATATAAAAAGGTTATTGAATTTATTAAGTATAATTAAACTTCTAAATTGATTTTAAATTCTCTATTTTTTTTTTCAAAGTATATCAAAGGTAATGATATTATTCTTGAACAAAAGAGTAAATAAAAATAAATGTATTCATTTTTAATAAAATTATTTTATATATAACAACAGTCTTTATCCCACTAAGTGAGGTTAGTAAAATAGTCCTTTTTCTTTCATTGTACCTTGTTGAGCCTCATATTTTCATTTTCTCAACATGACCAAGTCTTTTTAGGTTAACATTTATTTCTTTTTAAAACGAGCTGAATCTAAAACATTTATTCCTGTTCAGATCATCAGATGGTCGACATTTAATGTGACCAAGTCATCTAAGATGACTCTAGTATTGTCTGCCATTGGAGTTACTCCAACCTTTTCACAGATACATTCATTTCGTATTTTCTCTAAAAGTTAAGCCACTCAACCACCTTAACATTCTATTTTTAGCAAATCTTAGTTTTCTGCTTTTCTTGAGTCTAAGCGGTACTTTTGTATCACACAATATGCTCGATATATTCCTCCACTTCAACCATCCAACTTGAATTCTACTAATTACATCCCCGTTTATATCACTATCACTTTGAATAATTGGCCCGATATATGTAAAATGTTAGAATCTTTTAATGATTTAATCACTCATTATTACAAGATCTACTATTAAAAAAATAACATTCATTTTATTCAGTTTTAGATCTACTCAAATGAAGACCTTTAGACTTTAATGTGGACCTCCATAATTGAATTTTGTCCTACACCTCTTTCTCTAGCCTCATCCAAAAGATGGATAACACGAGTGAAAAGCATATACAAAACTACATCCATCCTATAAATGTCCACTGAGTGCATCCATAACTAAACCAAAGAGATATAGACTTAAAATCAATCCTTGATGTAATCTAATTGAAATAGGAAAGTACTTGGAAAATCCTCCCTTTATTCAAATGCAAGTAACAACTCTAGTATACATTTCCTTAATAAGTCGAATATGAGACACATGAAACTTTTTTTTCCTAGAACTCATCAAAGAACTTCTCTTCGAACCTTATCCAAAGCTTTTCTAAATCAATAAAAATCATATGTAGATCCTCCTTACTCTCTCTATACTTCATCAAAGCACTTCATAAATGTATAACTTCCATAGTCGAGCCCGACATAAATCCAAATAGATTATGTGAAATCTTTGTATCATGTCTATGCCAATGTTCTATTACTTTCTCAAATAATTCTAATGTATGACAGTAATTTAAGTTCACTATAATTTGCACATTATTATACATTTTCTTTATTCTTTAAAATAAGGATCAAAATACTCTTCATTCAATCCTGAGGCATCTTGTTTACCTATTAAATTATATTAAACAGTTTAGTAAGCCAATCCTAAATATTTTCACACTTTTATGGGGATATCATCATATTCTACTAGTTTTTCACACTATTTAGTCTCCTCAACTTTCTTTTTACTATTGCGATGGTAAATATAAAGAAGTTTTATTATTAATGATACTAAAATCACTATGGTTGATCATTATTTCAAAAAAAATTTCCTTGAAAAGTTTCTAAAAATATTTCACCCAATTATGTTGAATAATTTTCTCTAAGAAAAATGATTTTTGATTTTTATCTTTAGTACACTGATATTTGAATTAAATCTTTACTTTAACTCTTTTCTTGGTTTGTTTAATACATGAGTTTTTCACTCTCGTTAGTATATAATCTTTTATTAAGATCACTAAAGGAGAATTCCTATCATCATAAACAATTCTCTTAGATTCATTACGGGCTACTTTATATTTTTTTTAGTTTTCTAAGCTTTTATATTTAAACAAATTTTATAACAAAACTTCTTATATATTTTATAGTTTCTTCACATTATTATTTCACCACAAAGTATTTTTATTTATAAATATATTTCTTTTTTATTCTCCAATAATATATTATGCCATTTTTTGAATAGTGCTTGTTACTTTATCCCATTTAGAATTAGCTTCTTCATGAACATTCCAAATCTTAAAATCTTGAGGTTTACTCATAAAAATAACTTTATGTGTGTCTTTTAGATACCCTCATCTAATTCTATGATCATGTTTCATTATATTTTCTATCATCCAACTCATCTTAAAATTCAAGTCGAACACTTAAATTCTCACTTGGAATGCCCTTATAATCATTATATTCTTGACAATATCTTTTTCTTATAAAAAAATAAATAATTTGTGTTCTATTAGAATCATTCTTATAAGTAACAATATGCTCATATCTTTTCTTGAATAAAAGATTAGCAATAATAAAATCATAAAGTAAAAAAAATTAAATAAGGTTATACCTATTTCATTAATCACTCAAAATTGTATCCACCATGAATGTTTTTAAAATCTTCTACGATTCTACTAGTACGCCCATTTAAACCTACGTCAATAAAAAACTATTTTTTTCAGAAGGCATCGTTTGTATTAATTCATCTAGGTCATTTCAAATACTTTTTTTGAACCTATATTTAAATTTACTTGAGAAGTATAAACCCTTACAACACTAAAAACCTTATTTTCAACAATAATTTTTAGGGCTATAATTCTTTCTCTAATTGTATTATTTTTTTAGAAATTTGTCATTTGAACTCTTATCTACAATTACAGATACACTATTTCTAGTTCAACTCTTACATGAGTATCAAAAGCTTAAAATCTAAACAATCAATCTCTTTTGCGTTTTCACTAACATATTTAGTTTCGTGAATCCATGATATATTTTCTATGAATCATAATATCTACTTATTCTATTAATTTACTTGTGAGGCTTCTATATTCCAAGATTCCATCCTAATATTGCACATGGGATAATTTTTTTGCCCGCATTTGTTCATAATATCATAAACTATACTTATTTAACATTGCACCCAAGCGTTGGAGTAGCGACAATTGTACAATTTTCACTGTGTTCAGGCCGTACACCACACATTTCTCGGAGACACCCTAACATTTACACAAGTCATGATTTTTTCACATCGGCACTTTTGGCTGCTTAAAATGACACAAATTTTCACTTCCAATGCTCGAAACTCGACAATTATAATGTTTAATTTTTTTTTATCTATAATAATTAAATGGGCTACCCGTTCTTTTGTAAATGCATATGTAGTATTTAAACTCAACTTATTTATATTTATAGCTCTAAAAGTATTCATATCACATCAAAAATCTTTTTTTAACTTTTAAAAAGTGAAATACAAATAAGGTGACAACGTGTAAAACTTTTTTTTTCCTTAAGGAGCATTATTCAACTCCAACTTTATTGCAACAAAAATGAATTACAAAGATTAGAAGGTACCCCAACCTACCCCTATGCAACACACACAAAAAATAAAATCTTTACAGGCTAAAGCCAATAACTCATCAGAAAAATAGAAAAAACATTAGCAGATGACATCCTTGATCCAAACTTTGTAGCCCAGTGAGCCACCGAATTGCCTTCATGTCGAGTATGTGACCAAATCACATTCAATTTATCAGATAAGGCAAGAATCCTTTTAATCTGCAATAGAATATTCGAAGTAGGTTCCTGTGTAAACTTGCAACACTTCCAAAGAATCAAATAATTAACCTCAACAGTTATATCTCTTAGGCCTAGCTTCAAAGCAACCATAGGCCCAAAAACAACAACATCGGCTTCAACATAATAAGAACTAGGATTAGCAGTGGCAACAGACTAATAGATAATAGAACCAACAAAGTCTTGTCAAACTCCACCAACACTAGCAACATTAGGCTTCTAGCAATGATCAGTATTGATTTTGAAGAAAGGAGCATAAGGTTTACACCAAAAAACATGATTAGAAGAGTAGATAGTGTTATTCTAATTGATTAATTGGTGAATATACCCATCCAATTTATCCAAACCTCTGCCATTTAACTTCTTAAAAGTAATGCAACAAAGATATCCAAAAATAAGACCCATAATATGAGTAGCATTAGGAACTTCATCATTAAACATAGCATTGTTCCTTGATGTCCACACAAACCACAAAACAACACAAGGAACAATACTGAAGAAATTATTACAAAAAATTCTTCCATCTATAAAAAAATATAAGTAATAGAGCTATAAAAGCGATCCATACAAAAATTCAAAGCTTTTAGAAAGCTGGACCCAAATATCAGAAATAAATCTACAATTAACAAAAATATGAGTGAGAGATTCATCATGATCTCTACATAAAATGCAATGAGAAGTTAACTGTAAGCCTTTAAGCTTAATAATATCATTAGTGGGAATGATATTATTAAGAACATGCCAAATAAAAAAGGAAATCGAAGGTTTCAACCAAGGATTCCAGAACCAAGCTTGAGGCCAACCCTGATAATCTT